GGGAGGTTTCCAAAAATCGACACACAGAACAAAATAATCCTCGCTGACATTTGAGACGAGCCATTCGATTTCTTCAAGTCGTGCTTCTCCTCGGTAGAAACTCCAAACAAACGAAATGATCGGCTCAGAAACAATGACGACTGCATTCGCAATACAGTTGCATCCTGATAAAATAGAAAATGATAATGAGGCGCGTAATAATACTACTCGAACAATAATGTTGTCGATAATAATTGAATCGATCGTTATTAAAATATAAGTCAACAGAAAAATACAATAAAAGGGAAAACAAGAAGAAAAATAATATTAATAATAATAATAAACGAGCGAGCTCTGTCAGCCCGCGTGTTCCCGTGACGCGCGAATAAAAATAATTCCTAAGTAGAATCTTTTTAGCCTACGTCTTTGGCTGCGACTTTTCACTTAAGAAAGAACAACCGATCGAAGTAGCACGATCCCGATCGATCGATTATATTATAACTGACTTGAAATACGACCGATCGAATCGTGAACCCGCGTTTGGAGCGTTTCCCTCTGCCCGCCGGTTAGCAAACGCGACTCGAACAGGCTTAAAAATGGAAATCGAAACCGAAGGTACTACGAGCAAGTTGCAGAGGCAGTTGGTCAGCAGAGAAACGCTCGGAAACTTTTCGTGTCAAGTCGCAGCAAACGATCTCTCTCATACGCACGAAAACGTTGTTTCGAAAATTGTCTATCTATCTACGGACTTCTGCGAGTTCAATGTCATTCACTCTATTTTTTTTTTCTTTTCCTTTCGCACATTTATATTTTTTTTTTTTATTCTCACAAGCTCTCTCTCACTTTCTCTACCTCTTTCTCATTCTATTCTTCTCAATCCACAGTCACATCGCGCGCACAGCGACGGGGGTTGTTTCTTTTATTTCTTTTCTTATCTTCGAAATATCGTGTGGCATCATGTCCGCGTTTCCTCCGTGTTTCCATAGTACAAGATAAAACGATTCGTGTGTCGTCTTGTCGCCTGTTAATATTTGCTCAGCTGAGGAAACCAAAAAAACGATAATTCGCAGATTCGTGTCGTACAGCGAAAAGTACGCTAAACTAGCCGTTCTAGGAAACATATCAGCAGTCAAGAAATAGAGGGTGCGTAGAAAGTGATCGAAGGATCGATATCGACGAATCCGTGAGACGAAGTGAAACTTCTGTTTTTTTTTTTTTCCATTACTTTAATCGTTTGCCTTTGTTTTATATTGGTGTATATTAGTTTGTTTATTAGAACAAGTGTAATTTAAAACTGGACGAGATTAATCAACGTGTGTAATACGTGTTTCTGTTATGTTAGCAACTGTTTTGTGTTACACTTTGTTTCATAGAGTATTGTTCTCGTTGTATCGTAAGAAAACTCATGATCGAAGGTATCTACGTGTACTGTGTGTTTGCCTGTGTGTTTCGTATCTGTTTGTAGAACAACTGTACGGATTAAATTGATACAATTAAAAAGAGTGTTCGTAAAATCTAACGTTTGAATCATTTGGGCCACTCTATTCGTCTGTTCCAAATATGGAACTGTTATATCGTTAACGCTAATAGACTGAACGTGAAACATTATTTCAGAATGATGAACGATCATTTATGCGCGAGCAACTATTGCTGTTGAGTCAAGCGCAAACAGACTATCTTTCATTAATTGCAAACGGCTTAAATACGCTTAATTATGTCGGATTTGCTCGGATTTGCTTCTTCATTAAATTATTACTTGATATTGCTGTATTCTCTACGAAATATCGTACGATCGAACGACTTCTCGATTACTTTAACTCTGTCTAACGCGAGGTGGTCAAAGTTGAAAACAACTTGATTAACAAGAAATAAAATGATAACAAAGATATTCTTTCATCGTGTTAAAATACTGTTACTCGTATCTGTACGCTTTTTGTAAAGGAGAAAAGAAAATAAAATAAAAAAATAATTTTCACAACAACGATACTTTTGCAACGATAAAGTATATAATGGAAACGTTACTTATAACCGCTATTTGCACTCGAGTGCCGATAAGATTAAGTATCGTTAAAGTGGTTTGCTATTATATTTCATTGCACTCATTTTCATATCATTATACACGTATGTCGCGCATACCTATCGCATGAAAATTTATCAGTCGTATGCTTCTGATTTCAATTTCACCGTCCACAATCACGGAATGACAATAATCGATTAATCACTTGATTAACATCTTCCTCGCACTCTCTTTACACAATTGTGACCTCCATTTCCGTTCTCCTATCCTCTTCTCGCGCTGTGTATATTTATATATATATATATAATATATATATATATTTTTCTTCGATTATCGTAATTATTACTTATTATTTATACGCGTGTATATTTATATTTATATTTATATATATATTTATATACGTGTCGGTATCTGTATGTGTGTTTATCATACGTGTACAATGTAGAAGTGTTCGTGTGAGCGTGTTAATTGCGCGACGAGTGATCGAGCTCGGTCGATGAGCAAGCGCGGTCTTCCGAACTTTTTCTATCGTCGTCGAGCCTCCACGCTTTCCTGTGTTCGAAAAATTCGTCCAGGAAAAATGAACCCCGTTCGTGTAAAAAATCGAAAGAGCATCGCAAAACAAAAGAAGACTTGACTGCATCGCACAACGAGCTCGCCTCCCTCGCATTTCTCCGTTTTTATTTTTCCTTTTTCGTCTCCGCTTCTTTTTCTTTCCTTCGCCTTCCCATACTCTTGTCTTATTCTCATCCACTCTGCTTTCTCATCCATCCACGCTCGGCTTTCCTCCCCACGATCATCGGTTGTGATCATCGAAAAATTGTTCAGTACAATAGTATATTAGCTTTTAAAACATCAATAACTATATATATATACAAATGCATAAAACAATGTCTCAATATATCTGTTCATCTTCCATAATCGTCATATTTTTTTTATTTTGTCTGTTTGTCGCCTTAATCAGTTTAATATATTTATATATATATAGTCATAATATATATCTTGCCTTTCTTAATCGTTCAATATGTATATTTATATTTATATATATATATATATTTATATTTATATTTATATATATTTATATATATACTAGATGTAGATATAGACGTAATATTTCAATATTAATGTATTTCATATTTATAAATATAAACGCGTGGACTGTACTCACATATATATTTTGTTTGCTCTTGTTTCATTTTTAATTTTTCCCCCTATCCCCCCACCCCTACCACTTATCTTGCGACACCCTTTTCTTCTCTGTTTTTATTTTTCTTCTCTTTATTTTTGCTTCTATATCGACCGCATTTTTTGTTTGTTTTGTTTGCTTTGTTTAATTAATAATTGATCGTAGATCTCTTTCGAATATGTATATATTTATATATTTATATATAATTTTCAGAGGATTCTCGTTGAAAGTCGCCCGGGTTCCTGCCACAGCATTATTGGCTCGTCTCGCGAAGGAAACGACGAAACGATTTAAATAAATAAGTTTAAAAATAATTCTAAAACACCTACACATTGCTCGAACATAATAATAACTATCACATTGCTTCGTTATATTCACAACTTTAACAAAATTGCCACCGTGCAAAATTCAAAACGAACTAATCATTAGCATTAATTGTACAGTGTAAAAACCTTAAATGCGATAAATGATCATTTTTCAGGAACCCAAGGTCCTTTCGGCACGCCATTCACCCTAACTGCAGAAAGTTACAACTTGTACACTTAATTATGACTGTCTTCTCCCTTTTGCTATTTCCCGTTTTATGTGTGTATACTTCCTACTTCCTTTTCTCATTTTGCCTATTTGCTGCAATCTCGCGCATCAGCCTCTCTTAAACTTACAATCTCGTTATTATATTTTTACGTTCTTTGAGCTGGTGTTTATGTTCTCATGTATTTTTTTCTTTTTTCTTTTTTCTTTCTTTCTTTCCCTTTCTCTCGACTCTTTCTCGCGCGATGTCTCCGTCTATTTGAACAATTAGCGCGGCAACCGCGACACATGAAGCGTTCGACGCGTCTATTTAACGCTCGTTTAATTTATTTCTTACGGAATCCAACGAACATAACGGAAGAATAAAGGCAACAGAAGGTGCCCGCGAAGCTATGACTATGTCGCATTTTATTCGCAAAACCTGCGTGATTTCATGTAACCACAAAAAACAAACTCTGTCGGAATCGAAATGAAGAAAAAAAAAAAAAAAAAAAAGAAAGGAAAAGAAAAACTAGAAATGGAACATCGTCGACGAAACGCTCGTTTCTGCGTACTTGTTTCTTGCACTTGTTTGAAAGCAGCATCGCTGTATATGTAGCGTACGGTCTATCGATAAAATACCAATCTTCATACGTAGTACGTGTTCATTTCTTTATTTCTTCATATCTCATGTTTTATTTTAATTTTCTTTGTTACTCGAATTATTAGTTGCCTGGATAATAACCGGTTTGGTCCAATGCATAGTAACTTTTGTGTTCTTTTTTTTTTATATGCGTCTATGACGTTAGTCCTGGGGCGTAACGAAGCAGCTACCATTTTGTTTCGCTTGCAAGAAATCGGCTTTGCAGCGTCGAAAATACACGCGATCGCAGTTTGTTTCGCCGTACGTTTCTCTTTTACAAGAGTGGCGATTCATTCACTTTTCGCTCTTTTCTTCTTTTCTTCTTCATTTCCTTCTTTCTTCTGAGAACGAGCGAAGATCACCCGTCACGCGTGTACGCATCACCAACTTAAGAAATCATGTAAGTTTATTCGCAATATACTTTACTCGTGTATATTATTATTATTATTATTAGTTTCTCTTTTTTTTTCTCGTTCATTATTTGCCATTTTTATCTTTTGTGGTTATGACGAAGTATTGCTAACGTTCGTAAGAATTGACTCGTTTGTTCATTCGTTCTTCTTCATTCTTTCTTTCCTTTTTTTTTTTTTTGTATTTTTTCTTTTTGACTCCTTTTTTTTCATCGTGCGCGCGCACACCCGCGCACAGGAAAACAAAATGGTCGCCGTTCGACGTGACACGCGTCCCAATTTAAAGTCATCCCTGTTCTTCGATTCATTTTTTTTTTTTTTCTTAATTCTTTGTTTTACCCTGTTATTGAATACAATAATAACCGTACCTAGAATTGTCGCACGTATATCCGTCGTTTTGTAATAATTATAATTAATTTGTCGCTCGTTGACTCTCTCACTTGGCGAATTCAATAAATTGGTAATCAATAGTATTGTACGAAACAGTTTAGATCAGCAGTATCGACGAAATTCAAATTATACAGTTCACGGAATGAGTTTATGCACGTCGACGGTCTATTTTCTTTTATTATTATTACTTTTTTTTTTTCTTTTTACATTTCTCCCTTTCAGAAGCAGGGAGGTTCGAGCATCGTGATGCCCTTCGAGCTCCTGAGTCGAACCATTCCTCGAGGGTTGGCTGAAGTGTTTCACAAAATATCACGTGCGCCGAAGAAACGAAACGAAGAAAATGATATACCTCCCTGTTTCCCGTATTACGCGCATTTAACCTAAACCAATTACGAGTAATCGAATGGAGTATCCCCGTTCGCGCCCTTTGCCCGTCTAATCAGCGAAATATACTTCGAAGCGCGAAAGAACGCGAGAATTGTTTGATGTTCAGTTATTCCGGGATTAAGGCTACGATACGCAATTGAACGTTCTCTCACGTTTCCTTACGTCTTTTCTTACGCTGGCCTGCATAAACTTTACAATTTATTCTCCCTTCTTATCATTTCCATTTTTGTTCTTCACATTTGCAAAGTGGCATTTTCAGATGACCGTGTTTCGCAAATTTTAAAGATTTAATTGCTCTATTTCTTTCGCTCTCGCTCACACGTATGGACACTTTCTCTCCCACTCTCTCTCTTTCTCTCACACGCATTCGGGTTATATAGAGACGCACAAAAATCTCACTTCGCGTCCATAGTGTCATCCTTATTGCACGCGTTACTCTCGCTTCCGCTTTAATGCTCATGCACCGGCGCATCAAAAATTGGCGATCACGCCATTAACTAACGCTCTGTACATATACGGACGCACGGTAATTAATAACTGAATACACGCGTATGTGTGTATATATTTATATATAATATATATATATATATTTTTTTTTGTTTTTCTTTTAACGCAATTTTGCTTCGCTGCATTTGATGGCTTGCGTATGGTTTCTCTTGGTGTGATGTCAGTACATGTTTGTACGTATATATGTGTATATGTGTGTGTGTGTGTGTGTTTGTGTGTGTGTATAGGCATGTGTAAGGATAATTCGTTTAAGAAGCCGCGGAGGCGTGTGAAAACGTGTATAGTATTCGTGTTCAAAGTGTCTGCCTCTGTATGTATGTATGCGTGAAGTGTAGAAGATACACTTCACGTATGTTTATAGTGAGCCTGTGTGAAATGCGTATCGGTAAACGTTGCTTGTGTTTCCCTTGCTGGCTCCTCATGCATATACGCCATTATGGTAAATCAATGATACAATAATTCGCGTACGTGTATTATGTATGTATGTACTGAGGTTAATGCAAGTAATCGATTGGACAGCTATACAATAGCCGATTAAATTCAACGGTCATCGTTTCGGCATTAGATGAGGCCAGACTTCCGACGATACAACGCTCGGGGCTTGGCGTTCTCATACTCGATCTTGCGACCCTGTATGTCTAACGTTCTCTCGTTCTTCTCCTCTTCTATCGAACAGCGTCTTCCGCGCTGGATGACTATCTCCTCTCTCCATATTGACATGCATTATCTTAAAAGCAGATCGCATTCTCTTCCTGTCTTCCTCTTTCTCTCATTGTTTCCCTCACTTTCTTCTCCCTTTACTCGTCTAACTTACGTAGAGTCTCGCGAGTTCCAATCTGTCGATCTCGGCTGTAGCCCTCGCGCTTTCAACTCCCTTCCTCTTTCCTTTCTCTTTTCTCTTTTCATCCATCGCACGATAAGCAATGCAAACACCGTCACCGTTATTCGTGTAACACGCGTGTCTACGTCTATGTACGCAACCACCCTTCGCTTCTTGCTCTTTCCGTGCTTTATTCGTCCTCTTTTCTCCCTCGTTGCACACCCGGGAAAAGGGAAAAGTGCTTCGACGATGCCGGGGCGAGCGAGAAGTGCCATTCCGGCATTCAGTCGGCAAAGAGCACGCTGAGAAGTGGCGGACACGCGCGCGCAGGAAACAAAGAAAAAAAGGGCGAAGCCCACTCGTGGCCTGCCTAGCGCCCTCGTTGTCTCGTCTCCTAAATCTCTCTACCCGACTACACCACCACCCTTCGTCACGCATCCGTGTCGGGTTGAGCTCCACCGTGTCGTCGACTCGCGCGCTTCGCGAAAAAAATTTCTTAATACATTCCTTTTTTGTATTTTTTCTCGTTTATTTTTTGCCTTTTTATTGTTTTTTTTTGTCGTTTTGTTATTCACTCCGCTTCTACACAACTAAAAAACTCGAAAGCCCAACAGGGAGACGCCACTCTTCCCGGGTGCGAACGTGCGTTACGGGTAATAATAATTATATATACTTTTTTTTTTATTATTTATATTTATATTTTGTATTTATATTTATATTTATATTTTGTATTTGTATTTATATTTATATTTATATATTTATATATATATATGTATATCGCGCACGCGTACACGCGCGAGCTAGCACGGTGCATGGCTTCTCATCCTTTTTTGTTTGTTTTCCTCTTTTGTTTGTTAATCAGTTAGAAAAAAAAAAAGAAGAAAAAAGAAGTTTCGCCACAGTGTTATACAATAACCAGTAATCATAATAACATTCGTATGTAAGTTGGTATTCCTCCGTCACGTTTTTCGTCTGCCTTAAATACTAAGGATCCATACGTTTGTTTTTTTTTTTCTTTATAATCTAATATTTATCAATTATTTATATATATATATATTTATATATTTATATATATATAATATTTATATATATATTCTAGACTTAAACGCTTAATTATTTAGCAATTAATAATATTAATTTAATTCATTATTATTATTATTATTATTATTATTATTATTATTATTATTATTATTATATGATTCTTTATTAATGTCAGAGAACGGGCATTAATAACGCAGTTTCGGCCACATCTATTATACGTAGCTTCCGCCCATCGAGTTTCTTTTATTTTCCTCTTATCTTAACATTCTCTACAACTCTCTTGCTTTTCCCCCCGCAAACTTTCTGGACGTGTACCGCGATTTACAAATTTATACAGATTTTCCCCGCATTATTGTTTCCTGTCTTCCTTCCTCTCTTATTTTATATCTATATATATATATATTTTTATATATTTTTATATATTTTCTTTTTAATTTTCTCGTGCCCTCCTAATGCCTTCAACTTTGGTTTTTCCTTATTTTTCTCTTCCGTTGGAAAGTTACAAGTTGTATATGTTTGCATTCGATCGTTGAAAATCGATCGATCACGCCTGCAAAGTCGAAGCCTTCTCGCCAGTTGGAAACTGTTATCCATCTATCTAAATCGCGATTCTTCGGTTTATTGCTGGTGATGGTGCGCATTCCGTTTCGTCCAGAGTTCGTTCATCGTGGTGAATTTTTCCAAGGCATTTACATCGCTCACTGTACCGTCAGTCGACCATGCTGCGCTTTGCCCTCTCGTCCATCCTGATGAAAAAGAAAATCGTGGTTCGTTAGTGATAGATTGCAACACGCGCGACGTACATTGTTGGAAGCCACGATCTTTGTGAAATCAGCGCAAGCGGTTCGTGTTACTGTTGGAGTGAACTTGAGAGTGAACGGTAGTAAATCGAATCTAAAATAAAATTCTTTTAGTACTGTAGTTGGATAATCTCTCATTTGAATAATTTTATTTTAGATTTCATGTAATGCACAGTGGCTGCCGCAAGTTTCCCCAACCAGAGTGAA